TCCCAATTTTTTTTCCAAGGAAAATATATTTTAAAATGTGTAGAACATGAAAAAAGTTGTGATAAGAAATTGTAAATTGGCAAATTTAACCTTGATACATAGTTCGTTTTTATCATCAAAAATGGTGAAATACCGTATTTTCCGAGGTATAAGTTGCTACTTTTTTCGTTTTTTTTCTCTCTTAAAAACGACGTGTGCAACTTATATGCAGGAGCGACTTATACGATAAATAATATTTTTAACAACTGTGATTGATGTGCAGTGATGCTGTGCTTTAGCGAAATGCATCTACCAGTATACGGGCAAGCCAATTGCTGAAAAGTTAAACGTCATAGCATTTGCGAAACGGAAATCATGCAGCAGAAAGAAAATTGCGCATGACTGGCATAAAAAAGAAGATGAGTTAAGGTCAACAAAAAAAACAAGAAGGGAAATTGTAGTGGAAAAGCAAGTTGGCCAGTTTTCGAGGAGAATCTATGAAAATGGATTGTGGGACAGTGTGCTGCAGGTCATGGACTTTCAACAATTCAAATACAACTCAAAGCAAAGTCAAAGTCTATTGTAATACTGACTTTTATATAACACTTAAACAATTGTATAATATTTCTTACACGAAGTTGGAAATTACCAAGTTGCATGCAATGGCCGGCGGTATCAAAGACATGATTATGGTAAGTAACGGAGTAGAGACTTATACGCAGGAGCGACTTATACGCAGGAGCGACTTATAGGGCGGAAAATACGGTATTGCATGTAAAGATAGAATCCATATTGTGAAATTTGCATTTTTTTTCAAACTGTGAAGTGATATTTCTCAAATGTGTCACAAACCGCAAGTGTTATCGTGTTCTAATTTATGTCGTTTTAAACTTTTAGACCCATTAAATTCATTTTGGTAATGGTTAAACCTTGTGAATTTTTTTTCTTCCATTTTACTTCTACTGCAATAAAAATCTACACATCGTTCGATCAACATTGTTTTTTCGAAGAGTGTCGATCTTTTGTATTTGAAAGAAAAACAACCGTCTCCTTTGGATCAAACAATAAAATTAGAATGTATACCATTCACCACAAAAATAAGTGACGTAATACACAACGTGTGAAGTGCATGTGCTAAGCAAACGGAAACCAGGAGGAATAATGTTTAGATGATTTCCTCAATAAACTGTAAGTTATCCTGAAATTAATTGTTACTCTGTGAGAAAAAACTAAACAAAGTACACCGATATAAAAAGATACTTATCCACTGTTAATCTTAGCGTGATTATTAACCCTTTCATCACGGCAGACCGCATAACCGTTCCAGGGGAACTACATCCATCAACACTATGGACCGACTTTTCGGTCTGGGGTAGTGTTCTTAAACATTATAGTACCCGACTAAATATCTTTCAGGGTACCTCTAATAACTTCCATCTGGTAATGTAGATGTTATATTTGGATGATCTTGTGAGTTTAGCTTGTATATAACTAGAAATAACGAACAAAGTAGGAACTTTTAACATGTTTTCCGAATGCTGAAATTTGTATCCAAATGCATTTGATGAAATTTTAGAGGAGAGTTTTCGGAGGATTTAAATAATTTCAACCTGGTAAATTTGGATGAAAATGAGAGAAGACGTATGGAGAGAAAATGGAATGCACTTGTGGGTGACAGTGATGACGATGAAGATGACTTTGAAGGTTTTGAACCAGAGGAATTGCACGTTTCACATGGGGTTTTTTTTGGGACGAAGCCCGAAAACCAAAGAGATTTGTTTCAGTTTTCTGACAGAGTTGGGCACACCTGAGAGTTATATGGTTCCAGGAAAGCTTCAGATTATTTTCAAATATTCTATTCAGATGAAGGTTTTTGAAAAATTGTCCGTTTAACGAACTTAAATGTGACGATCAAACGTGGCAGAGACGATAATAGGTGTGTGGACAGATCTCACCTTGGAGATCATTTTGGTTCATTTATAGAATTTTATATATTATGGACACCATGAAAGAAAGACTTGTGTTGCTACTGTGATTATTCACTAGTACATCTAGGGTAAATTGAATAAGTTTTGAGAACTTTCTAAGTTTTCTAAGAGGTAATAAAATAATTACTTGTATTTTACCTGTTGTGTTACATGTTTGTACCTGCATTTTAACAGTTTTAATAGATATGCATATTTTTATTGAATTAGTCATAAAATTTGATTTTTAACCTTGATTTTGACACCTAATCTAGCCAGATATCTTTAACATTGGCAAAGTTATTTTGTTTCAAAGTCCACAAGTCATTTTGCTTTACAACTCCAAAGTTACTTAGTGTTGAGGACTCTATGCCAACAAAGTTACTTAGTGATGAAAGGGTTAATTGAGTATTCAACTCGCCAAGCCCCCCCCCATTTCTCTATGTGTCGATCCCATTGTTATATTTGTTGTTTGTTATAGGTCCCTCGATAACTCGCGCCCTCGCTTATATCGTGGACGATGTTTTTGGACCCCAATGTCCGTGAGTTATCGAGGGAGTGGTGTATTACAATAAATCCAAAGTGAGCAGCCAGATTTGTTACATGCAATTATTATTAAACAACAGGAAGTGTTATGATCTCAATACTTAAGTTTTCTTGGAAACTGTTCAATCTAGGAAAGCAAAGATCAATGACATTACAAACATTTTTAGATTTAAAAAAAGGCAAAAATCAGCTGATTCAATTTGATTTAATCACAAAGTAGTACTGTGTATACTTGCTACTACAAACTGCACATCTGAGTCTATGAAGTCTGATGCGATTATTCAACCACACAGACCAAGCATTCTGCAAAACTTATCAGGGTCTATGTTGCTTGCAGCTGGACTTAAATGTAAATACATGTAAGAATAGCTTAACTATACCAATGGCATATATAGTTATAAATTGTAATTTTTTTCCAAGAACCATCAGAAGTTTGACTTCCTCTCCCCACCCCAGTCTTAATCACAAATGCTACACAAATGAAACAAAATTAATGCATTTTCTAAATCAGTATGGTCAAATTGTATCTGAAAATGTTGGGTTATTTGACACTGCATCGTGAGTTAGTGTTATTATGATACAGAACCAAATTAATCAAGATCACACTGATAAAAGTTTGTAGCTCTGAGAGTCTTGAGGATTGTAAACAATCAACCCCACCCAAATGAGTACAAACTAATTAGGGCCAACCTAGTCCTAAAATGTAAGACTTCTACCCTGATATTTATGTTGTTTGGGTCAACTTCTTACTTCCAAAATAAAAGGTACAAAGCATGTTCCTTGGTTGACTAACAGGAGCTAGAGGCCAAATTTTCAAGATTATCTCACACACTTGGCAGCCAATATTGACAATGCACCACAAATTAAAGTTTATTGGTAATTGCATTAGTTGGTTGTTGTTGTTGTTGTTCTGGGGCTTAATGCCATTTTTCAGCACATGATAGGCTATACATGGTGGTCAGTATTAATGGTAGAGGAAGAAACTTGGAAATCCACGGAAAGAACCACCGACCCACGAGAAGCTACTGGCAAGCTTTCACATATCCACATTCACCAAATCTTAGACTCAAACTCATGCAGAGGTGAGATGGCAGTGATCTGTAATGGACAGCGCTTTAGATCACTTGGCCACTCAGGGCTAAACTAACTTGAATGTATTTTTCTTTATGAAATCAAGTTCTGATATAAGCAAGTGGACAAGTTCCATTTGTTAGGTGTAGGCTCGAACAAAAGTAACAAAAGAAATGAGTGAAGCCAACAAACTTTGTAAATTTTAACAAGATTTATTTTCCTAAACAACAAGGTAAAAATATGAAATAGGACTTATGGTTTGTGAATATAGTCCAAAAATTAATAGTAGAATTCAAGAATATGAGTCTTATCACTAAAAAGTTCAAATTAAATCCAAGTTTGAATCTTGATTAAGTTCCAATATGGAAGGCGATGATGTCCTCTAAAACCAGTTTGTGTTGATGTGTCAACGATTCCTTGTTGAGTAACCAAGAATATAATTCTAACTTTTGAATTCCAAATAATTTAGTGAATGTCTTTGTCCACGACTTTTGTTAAAGAATATTTTCCAGGTGAATAAATTATAAAAATAAAAAACTCAATTCAAATGGCAACAACAAGAATACCTTGAGACTGAAGGTATATTTTTATGATTGAAGGTATATTTTTACGACTGAATAAATCCACTAGAAAATGCCCGTTTTAAACCACAACTTTAGATCACATGATGGCTTATTTGATCACTAATCTGAATAGCGCAATTAAAAAAATTGCCATTTTGCATAAAGCCTAGAAGAGCCCTATCTAAAAATCTTATTCTCATGCTGGAAATGAATAATAAAAAAGGTTGTTTACAACATAGCTAATGCATGGGCCAAACATGGCCATGGTAATAACCAATCATTTTCACTTAGTGTTTACAAACTTCTTAACCAAGGTGAGCTAAAAATAGTAATAAAGCAACACTTCTGCAGGTCAAAACAGATGACTGAATTCCCCCCCTCCCAATTAAATCTCATGAAAATTATCATTACAATAAAATGTAAGGAAACAAAAAGTAAAATAAAAATTAAATTACATATATGTAAGATATTGACATGTTATGAAGCTGAGAAATAATGGAGTCAGTCAAAGAAGAGTTACATCTCTTTAATGAAATAACAATGTGTTCATCAACATTATGGTTTTATTCATTTTGTTACAGAAACATAACTTCAACTGACTTCAGCATTCCTCAGCCACCAGTGCATTTCAACCAATTGTGTGTGTGTGTGTGTGTGTGTGTGTGTGTGCATGCATGTGATTTGGATTCACTATGACGTCTGCAGTGTGGCAGGTTATAGTGATGTCTAGCACTGGGGCATCATGCTGCAGACATGTAGCATCATGTTCCACCCAGTCACATTATCCTGACACCAGGCAGACCAGTCCTAGCACTAACCTCTTAATGCTGAGCCGCAAGTAAGGCAGCTGTTAGTACCATTTTTATAAGTCTTTGATAATGACTCGGCCAGGGTTTGAACCAGCAACCTCCTGCATCTGAAGCAGACGCTCTAACCACTATCCGCCAGAGTGGTCCTAGCAGGCAGAGTAACTTGATGCTCTGCTTACCAGTTTATTTAGCTGCTTATGTAAATGAAATTCATTAAAATGCAAATTGAAAACTAACTCTCTTGTCTGTGTCAGAATTTGGCCATTTTGTGAAATTTTACGCCATGCAAATATGATATGCTCGTGTACAAGTCCAATTGCAAACTACACAGACCCAGATCTGTCATCACATAATGTCATGGCAGATCTGGGTCTATGCAGTTAGAAGTAATCAGTAGAAAAACAAAAAACCCTATTCTGCGGGCAAATTATGTGATGCCTCTTCAGAGAGAATATGCTGTTTGCAATTGGACCTGACTAGGAAGTACTGTACTAATCAAGCAACAATTTCTTTTGTCACCACCCTCTATGGTTAAAGTTTTTCTGTATTTGGTATTAGTGTGTGTTTTGTATTTTAATGTAGTTTTAACAATTTCAGTCATATTGCCACAATGTCATTATTAACCTTCTTGTCTGTGTCAGAATTTGGCCATTTTAAGTCTTTGGTATGACTTTGCAGGGGTTCAAACCCGCAGCCTCCCACATCTAAGGCAGATGCTTATTGGGTATCTAGAAATTAATCTGATATGTAATATTCACATATTTCATAAATTTTACATCAGAGGTTAAAAAATCTACTTACGCCACTTGAGGTTAACATCTGGGAATTCATCAAAGTTGGATGTATCATCAATACTTTTGATATCTATAGGAATGGCTGAAGGTCTGTCTCTGTTAACAAAAAGGTAGAAATATGTAAAGACAGACAAATTCAAATCAGTCCAGACATCTGCTATAATCTGTATATTCCTAAGTTGCACTTTATACACTTTTGTTTTGGAGTGAACAGTCACGTACATAATTCCACATAAGCACTTTGTAACTTGATCCTTATATGAAGCTATTCAAAAAATTCATGAAGATGTACAACTTACAATGCTACCATGTTAAATTAAGTGAATGAAACTCGGGTATTAATTTCAAAGAAAACATCCACCTGGTATCCATGATAACATCCACATTATATAACAATTTGCCTTATTCTAAAGTGCTTTATAGACAGTAATCACTGTGCAAGATCTTCCATATTTTCAGAGCTTTAGTAAATAATAGCACCTGGCATCAAAAACATAATAGGTCGACAAGCTGCCTGTACAAACTGATTTGAAATCCTAGGAAAATGACTCATTATAATGGTATTCATCACAATCTAGTTGTCCCACTGTGATACACTTGGATGCCCTAAGTAAACATTAGTTGTTCATCATTGTGCAACAGATTTTCCAATATAAAGATTCTTATTTGCTGTTATTTATTCATGATGCTGATGCAAAATGACCTTAAAACATGCTGTCATATGGCACTTTTATTATCCTTTCTGTCAATGGACCTTTGGGTCTGTGACTGAATAAACAAAATAAATACTTTAAAAAATACAATGTGTGGTTATTGTGACTTAATATATTAAATACCATAAAATAATGCATATACATGTCTTTGCTTTCCAACGCTATAAATATGTTAATAACCGAATACCATTTTACTGTATTTAGTGGCATTACCTAATTTTTGAAGGGTAATGATGTGCCACAGAGACAGGCATATACCAATATTTTGGCACTTCTGAACACTGAACATTTCCAAAATTACATACACTGCATTGTTTTCCAAGCTAACCATAAATCTTTAGAGAAAGGTACTTTTTATATATCTATCTTTGATTTTTCATAAATTTAAAATTAGATTATTCAATTTAATCCCTAATGCAGATTATTTTGTTAATGTAAATAACTTGCTTTATTGAAATTTTACGAATTATGTTAAAATAAAAAAACTCGGCATGTTATTCCCAATAGTCTTCATAATAGGTTACATCCCTACTTGAGTAGACAAAAAGGCAAGGACAGTAGTTCTCTATTTTTCATTGTGGTGAACCTATAAGATGGCAGAATTACATTATCAATGAATTCTGAAACTCATCTATGCCAGGATGCTTTCAAATTTGGTCAAATTCAGTTGTGCTATTTCTGAAAAGAGGTCATTTTTTGAAGGACTTTCTATTTTTAGCATCAACTGCCATATAATTTTAACAAATATGAAAGGTTTCATGCAAGGATGCTTTTAGTCAAGTTTGGTCAAATTCAGTTCTGTGGTTTAAGTTGGTTAAATGTTTAATTTTTTTTAAATTTTAAACAATGTCTTTTCTATTTTTATTAATGGTAGTCATACTGGATCAATCTTATTCATTTCTAAACACATACAAGGTCTTCTTGCCACAATTCTTTCTGTCCAATTTCATCATCATATATCAGATGTTTTTTATATAATAATTTTGATCTTTTAATAATGGTGCCAACATGTTTGGTAAAATATTTTGTCAAAATAGGTCTAGTGGTGTTTGAGAAATTATTTTAAGTGATGATCGAGTTGCAGGACATGTGACAGACCATAACAATGTAAAACAGATGCAGGAGGAAGCTATAAACCTATCCAACCGTATGACTAATGAAGTTAAAAAGAGAGTTGAAGGATCAATAAGAACAAGACCAACGCCAGGTTTTAGAAAAAAGTATGACCATAAGTGACAAATGTCACGAATGCAAACTAAGATTAGAATGATCATCACATTTGGAGTACATTCTCATTTACAATATTAAGCTCATTTATGGAGTTTTGGAGAATTCTCATTTACAGTGTTAAGCTGATTGGTGGAGTTCAGGACATTTTCATTTCCAGTGTTAAGCCCATTGGTGGAGTTGTGGGCATTTTCATTTCCAGTGTTAAGCCCTTTGGTGGAGTTTAGGGCATTTTCATTTCCAGTGTTAAGCCCCTAGGTGGAGTTCAGGGCATTTTTATTTACAGTGTTGGAGTTCAGGGCATTTTTATTTACAGTGTTAAGCCAATTAGTTAAGTTCAGGGCATTTTCATTTCCAGTGTTAAGCCCTTTGGTGGAATTCAGGGCCTTTTTCATTTCCAGTGTTAAGTTCATTGGTGGAGTTCAAGGCATTTTCATTTCCAATGTTAAGCCCATTGGTGGAGTTCAGGACATTTTTATTTACAGTGTTAAGCCAATTGGTGGAGTTCAAGGCATTTTCATTTCCAGTGTTAAGCCCATTGGTAGAGTTCAGGGCCTTTTTCATTGAGTTCAGGGCATTTTTATTTCAAGCGTTAAGCTCATTGGCTGAGGTTTGCAGCATTAACTTCCAAAGTGTAAAGTTCACTGGTAAAGTTTTATGACATTCTCATTTACAGTGTTAATCCAATTGGTGGAGTTTTGGAGCAATCTCATTCAGTGTCTTAAACTCACAGATTGAATTTTGGGGCATCTTTTCCAGTGCATGGGTTCCTCTTTAGACAAAATGTGTTTGTCTTTCCATTCCCAAGGAACAGTAAATTGTAAAAGGAATATGACTCTGGCCTAAATGGCAAAAATTGTTGACAAATGTTTTAGAATTGTGCCATAACATCACAATGTTAATTTGTAAATCATCTTTCATTGCTTCAATTACCCTGTTGAAAAGAAATAATTCTAAGTTACGTTTTTTTTTACTACTTAAATGCCAGCAATACAAACCGGATATGTTCCCAGTCTACACCTCGGAAGAATGAAACAGCTTTAATATCTTCTATGTCTGTGGCACCTATTCTATGTTCTGCATCACAACAGAACCTGAAAAAAGGTACAAATACATGAGCCTGTTAAAGTTTTTAGAAGACAATGTGACTTATTTCTTCATATGCTAACAATATTCCTTTTTTAAAGTTAGGCAAGAAAGACTCTAAAAACAACAAATCTGGAAACCAGAGATGCAAACCCCCCACCAGACTTACTTTCATGGCCATAAAAACTGGTAAGTTCAATTTTCAGTGTAGGATTGAGACTGTAACTGTTTATGTTTTATTTTTGATGATGTCTGAAGTGTTGCTGTTTATGGTGATGTCCAACACTGAGGCAGCATGCCACAGATGTGTGGCATCATATTTCACCCAGTCACATTATCCTGACACCAGTTTTGACCAGTCCTATCACTGACCTCTTAATGCTGAGCACCATATGAGGCAACTGCTAATACCATTTTACAAGTTTATGATATGACTTGGTTGGGGTTTAAAACTGCAATCTCCTTCATTTAGGGGGCACCGAGTGGCTGAGTGTTGACTGTTACGGATCACTGCCATTTCACCTCTGTCTGTGTGACTTCAAGTCCAGGCTCAGCAAACATGGGTAAGTGAGAAAGCCTGCCAGTAGCTTCTCGTGGGTCAGTGGTTCTTCCCGGGTTTTCCAGGGTTCTTCCTCCACCATTAATACTGTCCGCCATGTATATATAGCCAATGAAGCAGTCAACGGATACTACTATGTCACACTATGCATACATAGCTTACCAATAATTAAGAATCCTTCTTAGCCCTAACAATTCTTAAGAAATGTTAATCTCTTTTTTTAATGACAAGTCCATCCCCTAATTTTGGGGAATTTTAACAATGAAATTTCAATGTTAGTACTTTTCAAACAACCACCCTACATTTTCAAAGAGGCACAAGTAGACCTAATATTGCTCAACTGACAGATGATATATATCACTTTGTGAATGCAAATTACCATGAGGCAGTTGAGGGGAAATTAAAGCCTGTCGATTAATGTTGGTGTTATCTTCATTCCTAGGGTCACTTTCGAAGCATAAATTTGATATGAAATGTGCAATCAGTATTCTGCCTTTTATGAATAGCCCTTTGTTTAAATTACATACTTACCTGGCATTATAAGGGGAATTAATCTGTGATGTGATTTTGATTTCTAATGTAGCTTTAACATTTTTTTCAGTCATATCACAACGATGTCTGCAGTGTGGCAGTTAATAGTGACATCTAGCACTCGGGCATCATGCCGCAAACATGTAGCATGATGTCCCACCCAGTCACATTATCCTGTCACCAAGCCAACCAGTTCTAATACTGACATCTTAATACTGAGCTTCAAGCAAGGCAGCTGTTAGTACCACTTTTGTAAGTCTTTGGTATGACTCGATTGGAGATCGAACTCGAGACCTCCCGCATCTGAAGCGAATACTCTAACCACTAGGCCACCGGAGTGGTGCAGGAATTAATCTGTGCAGTCAACATGGATTCCTGGGTCAGTTTTTACATAACTGAAGCCCCATCTCTTGAGACATAACTTGAAAACTATCTAGATCCACACCCAATGATCTGCAGTGGTTCACTGGCTAAGACACTGGACTCGTGACCAGAAGGTTGCAGGTTAAATTCCCACCATCTGATCAGCCTGGATCCTCATTAATATACATGGATCTTAATCATTATTAAAACTTACAAAGATTTTAATGATACAAGCTTACAAACTGAATATGATTAAAATCTAATCAGAAATAGATTAGATGCAAGATCACCACACTATTTTGTGTGAATGGTGCTCATAATGCAACTGATTCAAGATCCAAATAATAAAAGCTTACACACCAGCTCTGATCAAACTCTAAATAGAAATATGTTTAGGTCATTCATAATCAAACAATCTTTAAAGACTTCTATAATAAAAGTTTACATAATAAATTTGGTGAAAATGTGATCAGAAATATGGTTTGTAGAGCACCAATCAGCAGCAAGGTTATCTCATTATTCTGTGTGGATGTTGCTCATTATCCAACTAACCCATGATCTTGTTTATATATGCATTACACACCAAATCTGAACACAAATTGGACAAAAAAATTATGGATTCTAAGAGTTCACAAGTTCAGCCAATCAGATGCAATAACACAATCTGCATAGATGTCACTCCCAATGCAGACATTACTTCAGTCGTCCATAAAAATTTATAAAAAACTGAAAAAATAAAATGTGCATATGGGTTTGGGGGTCCTTACCTTGCATACTATACTGCAAAACTTACTTTATTTGTAAAAAAAAATACTTCCAAGAAATTAACAATGTTTATTGTCACATTAACTTGTTCTAAAAAAATTTTGCTGAAATTATTACACGTGCATGTCAGTGTTCACAAAATATTTGTCACAAACAATTGTCAATTTCTGCAGCAAATATTACACTTTTCTCTTTTCAGAACAATCTGCAAAATAAAATATCCAAATACATCAACTATATACAAATAAGCATATAAATTCACTTGTCTCACTGAACACAACCTATCAATACTGTTATGCAAGTCTTTCTCTCTTTCTTTCCTTTTTGTCAGCTCTTTTGTTACTGACTCAGTGTTCAATCTTTTCTTTCTCAACAAGGTTTTTTTTCCTTTCAAGCACCTCCTTGTATTGGATGTAATTTATACTACTGATATTCAATTTATCTGTATGCATCTTAATTTGGAAGTGCTGGCTGCTACTCCAAACTCTAAAAACTGCAATTAACATAATTCAAATCTTTCTTGCAAAGATCACAAAATGCCAATCCTCTGCCATTTACTTTTATTATGATGTGACCAACTACATTTCCATCAACTTTCCACTTGAACCATTCCCATTTCCAAAAATTTTTCAAACCTTTATCAAACATTTTTTGTGTCCTGTTCTCTCAGAAACTCAAGACACCATGTTCTGCATGCATGCTTCTTTCTTTTCATCAGTTCCAGTTACAATAAGACTCTGTACATGATTAGAAACTTTTGACTAATCAGAACACTTCTGACAATGATTGTTGTATTAAATACAATAAGAAATAAACACTTTGCAAGGATCATTATGGAACCAGACCAAACAATTTTTTAAAATCCAGATTGCAGATATATAAAAAAAAAGATTAGGTTGCAAATATAATTTTTCTCATCATAAGAAACGCAGAATTCCAATTTAAAACAGAAAAATCAAGTCTCCTAAAGCAAATCATCAGATATCTTGATATAAGCTTAGATACCAAATATGACCAATTTCTATTCAGATAAGATGCAAAAGCATCATTTTAATAAACATGGATGTGGTCATTAACACATTCAAAGTCTTGACCATTTAAATATATATACAAAATCTGACTGAAATCAGATTAGAAAACAAGCTTATAAAGTGCACAAGTACACAGCCACAAACAAAACAGTGGACAAAATGCCAAACCAAAAGTTCATTTGTCCTTAGGCTAAGTGAACAAAATATGAACAAGTCAGGCCCTTTGGGGTAAGATAAATACTACTGTTGATTGTACCGTTGTATGAGGTCTTTTGCTTCATTAGATATGGGAACTTCTGGAGGGAACACAAGAGTCTCCTTCCAGTTCATCACCTTCCTGTAGGTTTCCTGTGGGTTTTCTGAACAGAATGGCGGGTAACCTGAAAGACCAATACGCTAAATATAATTTCATGCTGACCCTTGCATTCGCTAAAATTACTAATGGTTATCATAAGATGACAATTCACTTCAATATAAAAAAATATCTGGCAATTGAAAATTTAGGAACATGTGCTACTGTGTGCAGACTTTTGCCTTGAAGACACATATCTGCCATTTCTGAGGTATTTATGATGTAAAAGACAATTTTAACAATGGAATATGCAGAAATGATAATTTAGCAACAAATCAAAAACTTGTTAGTTTAAAAAGAAACATATCTCAGAAATTTAAGGAAATTATAAATGTAAAAATAAGCAGACTTTATTTATTTTTAGGGGAATATATGGCAATTTTTTGGAAAATTTTAGCAATAATCTTGTAATGATGCACATATAATAATGATACATGCACATATAATAATGATACATGCTGAGTAGATGAAACAACTGACTCTACAGATTTGAATGACGATTTACAGCAAAGAACCCAGTGGTACATAAGGCTTTGTATTGCCTCTGATGTCATGATTATAAACCTTATAACATTTGCATATTACTAATTTATGATAAGGCCATCTTTGGCATCAGTTCATTAGTCTACCATGCTTACTCCTCAACCATTTGAATTTATTTTATTATACTGTTAAAACCAAACATGAAAAGACAAAAGCAGCTAAAAATTTTCATAAAACATGATAAAAAATAAGTTCATTTTGTGAATATACTATCGCTTTTTTTGGCAAACATCTACAATTTCACAACAGTATATGGTTAGATTGGACCTTGATTGTACTGTTTTGGTTTGATTTGTGATATTTTTATGCCATTTTTTAGCACATGGTAGGCCTACATGTCACAGAGCACAAGAACAACAACCAATCAATAGGATGCTCATGGAATGGTTTCTCACATACCCACATTGGTCAGGTCAGGACTAAACCCATGCAAACATAGGTGAGATGTGAGCAATCCATAAAAGCAAACACCTTGGACTTAGACACCCAAGACCAAAGTGTCATGGTTTGAGCTGTGGTGATAAAACATATTATATTGCCATAACAAATCAATATTGCAGATATGTGTTACTGAACAGCCCTATCTGCAAATGCAATCAGCTTAGCTACTGGGTTAACCTCTGATGAACTGGCAACTAATCGATGGAAAGTCAAGTACTTTTAACTGTTTTTAACACAAACTAAGCTAAGCTCAAAACATATTAGTCTTTAGCAATGTCAGAAAGACCTTTTTAATTTTTATCACGATTACCTATCTAGGATGCAGACTACAATTTATAAAGGGAGACAACTGCTTTGGTTCTGAGAGTGAATGCTTCTTCTAAACTAATGAAAAGTTGTGAATAAACTGACATTTTAGACAACAATTGAATTAGAAGCTAAACATATGGTAAAAATTCCATGGAATGAGCAACCTAATCTCCTTAGAGGACAATCAAATTTTAATTCATTTAAATCACTAACTGTATCCTGGAATGGTAAAGACTCCAAATGCAATATCAGCATTTAATACCTCACCTAACTCTCCTGCCATGAGGATGACAACCAATATCTATGTTACCATTTTGCTTTATCTTTATTTTCCTTGCATACTATCAAGTGCATTACCACTTAGAAAGGCATTATCTGCATCTCAGCATGCTTCTAGTCCGTATTTAAATTTCGATTTTAACTATAATTTCTAGTAACAGCTTTTTATCCATCCCTCAAATTATCCTTCCTTTTGGTTTTTAATTTACCTAAATACAAAGTTCACTTTTAATTACCACCTTATAAAATACTTTACTTGCTTATAATTTAAGTTATGCACTGTTTGTTTTGTCCAATTGCATCAGGGCAATGGGCAGACAAGCTGTCTAAATCTTAATTTACATTAACTTTAAATTTGCTAAACCAATTAATCACATTTACAAAATAATAAATGATTTAATAACAATCATTAGATGGCAGTGGATAGTTTCATAAATTAGCCTGCCAAATTTCTTAACTTAAGGCTATTGTGTGACTTTTGCAGCTCTTTTTATTTACTAATTAAAGATACATATATATTTGTTAACTAGGTGTTTCAGACTTTTGCTGTTCTTAAAACTGATGATACTCATGTACACCTTCTGTATTTACTTTACTCTATTTAGAGAATGAAATATCTATATTCAACTAGAAAGAGCAAGACACCTTTTATAGTAGTATACATCTTGGTTCAGGGCATCTCAAAAACGACTTGAATAACAGCTATTTTGAACTGCACAAAACTATTTTAGTATAAAATGTATTGCAGAACTATCACATAGAAAAAGAGCTCATGTTTGCACTGTGAGCATCACAAAAATGTGTCAAAAATGACCTTCGGACACAAAACATGCAGGTATAAATTTGTTAAGGGGTGCACAAACTTCTTTTACTGTTAACTGCCATTGACTGCTCTGGTCAAGTCAATAATATTCTTATGCTTTGTTGTAATACAGCTATCCAAAATCTTACTTTTTGACCTCACCTGTGAATTCGAGGTTATTTTACAATTTATTTTTAATACTAGGCAGGTGAATGCAGCATTAAATTTGTGCATAAAATCTCTCCCAATCACCCTCTAAATTTGAATTACTTCCCTTTGTTCAATAGATTTGCAAAAACAATTACATGCATGTCCACTTGTATCAGTAAGCATTGATTGGGATAAATTAACCTTGCCCTGTGTATGTCACTAAGGTGTCAAAAACTTAAGTTAATTCATAAACATGAATATACACTCAATGAGCTATTTTTCATGACTGACCTATGAGCATTTCA